TGGTCCTCCCTATTATAGAAAAGATACAGGTGCCATTGGTTTAATCACAGGCTACTTTATGTAAGATTTTTATTCGGTGTATTCTTAAAACTTGTCACGTTATGCTTGTGGTTGGGTGACACACAACACAAAAGTACACTAAGGCTTTTTATAGTTTTTACTTTGTAGGTTGATGCATTACACATAACACACAGACCACTCTCTCTCCCTCATTACCCGACCTGTCACATTTAAAAAAAATACACTAAAGAATTTTTAATTTTTTTAAAGTGTCATATCATACTCACCATGTTGGAGTGTCACATGTCACGTTTGAGAAAAGTACACTAAGGAGTTTTTAATTTTTTTAGAGTGTCACATCATACCCGTCACGTTGTTATGTTTGAGAAAAATACACTAAAGAGCTTTTATTTTTTTAAAAGTGTCACATTATACCCGTCACGTTGTTACATTAAGAAAAAATACACTAAAGAGTTTTTTTTTTTTTTTTGAAGTATCACATCATATCAGTCACATTGTCACATTAGGAAAAAGTATACTAAAGAGTTTTTATTTTTATTTTTTTGAGTAAAAATTTTGGAATGTCACATCATACCCACCGCGTTGTGACATTTAGGAAAAGTATACTAAGGAGTTTTTAATTTTTTTGGAGTATCACATCGTTGAAGTGTCACATTAATACCTGCCACATTAGAGTATATTTTTTTTAGAGTGTCACATCATACCCACCACATTGTCACATTTGAGAAAAGTACATTAAGAAGTTTTTATTTTTTTTAAAGTGTCACATAATACTTGCCACGTTGTCATATTAGGAGAAAGTACACTAAAGAGTTTTTTTTTTTTTAAGTGTCACATTATACCCGTCACGTTATCACATTCGAGGAAAGTACACTAAAGAGTATTTATTTTTTTGAAGTGTTACATCATATCTGCCACCTTGTCACATTAGGAAAAAGTATATTAAAGAGCTTTTATTTTTTTTAGAGTAAAAGTTTTGGAGTGTCGCGTTATACTCGTCACATTGTCACATTTATGAAAAGTACACTAAGGAGTTTATAGTTTTTTTAGGTGTCATATTGTTGGAGTGTCACATTAATATCTGTCATATCAGAATATCATATCATACCTGTCACATTAATAAAAAAGTATAGTTATCTATCTTTTACCAAAATAAAAAATAAGATGATATAGAAAGAAATTCTTCACTAATAGAACTTAATAAATTAATAAAAAAATTTAAGGTTAATTTAAATATTTGTTTGTAAGATGATATTCATTCATAAATATATAAAAAAGAAAGAGAGAGAAAGTAATGAAGGATCCCGCCGGAGTGTTGGAGGGGGGAAGAAATAGGGAGTTTTATTTGGTGCGTGGGGAACAATATCCCCACCTTTGTAATTAAAATCATTCTATTCATTTGTCATGTAATTATAAAATGATTCTTTGCGATTTGTAGTATAACTTTTCAATCCCCACTAACAAGTAATTTTTTCAAAAAAACTACAACAAAGGTAAAATAGGCAAATTAAAAATTATTTTTTAATATTTTTATTTTTTTCATTTCATATTTTAGTTAAAAACTAATAAAAAAATTAATTCTCAAACCAACTCTAAATGACTTATATTTGGCTTCCTTAAACAATGACGGTATGAAGACCCCAAAAAAAGGCATCAATTATAATAAATTCTCTTAAATTTTACACTTTACCTCTTCAATTTTAAAACTCAAAAGTTGCTTGGTTGTGTTTTTTCAAAAACACTTTTCGGTTCCGTTTGGCAAGAGCTAAACGGGGCTTTTTTGGCTATTTTAGCCACAAAAGACAAAATATGCTATTTTAGTCACAAAAAATAAAATATCACATCCAACCCATAATCATTACATTCTTCTCTCACAAAAAAAGTCAAAAAAACCAAAAAACCCTTTCCAAACCAAACTTTTTAGCCCATGCTAAAATAGCTAAAAAAGCCAAAAAGCCAACCCACTTCCTAAACGGAGGCTTCAGAAAATTTTACTTTTTTGTTTTTCGTTTTTTTTATTTTTAGTGAATTTCTTTAATATTTTAAGCAATTTTTTTTTTTACTTTTTAGACATACCTAACATAAATATACCTAAAAAGTAAAAATGTGGAAAAAATCTTTTAAAAAGTCACTAAATACCAAAAATACAAAAAAATACGAGAATTCAGTTCATTTTTTTGTATTTTTATGAATTTATTAAAATTTTAAAATATTTTTTTACAAATTTTTTACTTTTTAGATATATCTAAGTAAGGTGCATCTAAAAAAGTAAAAAAAATGTTTAAAATTTTAAAAATATTCACTAAAAACAAAAAAACACGAAAACTAAAAAATTGAGTTTTCAAAAAATTTAATTCAAAAAACTCAAACCAAACACACTAGTCTTGAAATACTATTTTGTTATACTCAATATCTTCCATTAGAATTTTGTTAAGAATTTAAATGGGAATAGGTTATAAATACATCACATACTTAAACGACACCTTAATGATTTTTTAGAACAATATAGCTTGTTTGGTTTGAATTTTCTGAATTCTCTATTTAGAAAATTAAAAATTTTTGATTTCCGTTTTTTAAAAATTTTTACTAACTTTTTTTTTAATATTTTAAGCAATTTTTTTTAATTTTTAGATATTCTTAACATAAATACACTTAAAAAGTAGGGTAAATTACCAATAGGTTATAATAGTTAGACTTTAATTTCCATCAAGTCCTATTGAAAATAAATCTAGGTAAAATTGTCGTCAAAAATAATTTTTTTGTGATAATTTTTTACGTATGTCGTTAAAAATTCATAAGTAGTGACTTTTTTCTGTCATAATTTTTATAAATTGTTGCTAAAATTTACAATTAGTAACTTTTTTTATGACAAATTTTTTCTATAGGACCTATTAGACAATAAGTCTACTTATTAAGACCTATAATTTTTTTAAAAAAAATTTATAATTTTTTTACTTTTTAAATATATCTAAGCAAAATGTATCTAAAAAAAAATTACTTAAAATTTTAAAAATATTAACTAAAAAATTGAAACCAAACATAGTAAATACATTTATTGGATGATCTCATAAAGAATTAAGGACAGGAGAATGGCTATGGGTTAGTTGATTTTGACCCTCACACTTTAAAAAAAACCTCTCTCTCTCTCTCTCTCTAAAAAACCTCTCTCTCTCTAAACCTCCACCCCGGGCCTCGCTGTTGGCCAGCTGGCCGTCGCCTTTGGCGATAGCAGTCGGCTGGCCTCGCCTCTTTCGTGCATGATCGTTGTTTTCCGTCTTAATAAACTTGAATCCCCATTGTTTTTCCTTTTCTTTTTCAGTTTTGTTGGGTGTTTGGGGTGGGTTTCAGTCTTGAGGGTTTCGACCTTGGTAGGCGCCTTGATCTTAGAAGGGTTGGTTTTGTTTTGGAACTTCATTCGTGCGCTTCTACGCAAGTGGGAGTTTGAGGGGTGGATTCCATTCAGATCCGGAGTGGGTGAAATCCGGCGTGGGAGTTCTGGCCATAGAGTACGAGTAGCAGAACGGGTGTAGTCCGAAGGGAGCAGTGCTACGGAGTGGGAGTTCCAACCGTAGAGCTCGAGTAGGAGCACAGCAGAACGGGGCAGTTCCGGCGATGGAGATGCCAGGCGTGGGAGAAGGCTGGGGGAAGGAGTTCTTTAGGCGTGGGAGAAGGCTGGTTAGGAGCAGGTGGGCTCGATATTGGAAGCAAGCTTCGAGCATGGAGTGATGTACTGCAAAGGGAGCAATGCTACGGAGTGGGAGTTCCGGGCGTAGAGCTTGAATAGGAGCACAGCAGACGGGGGCAGTTCCGGTGATAGAGTTGTCAGGCATAAGAGAAGGCTGGGGGAAGGAGTTCTTTAGGCGTGGGAGAAGGCTGGTCAAGAGCAGGTCAGCTAGGAGTTTCTTTAGGCGTGGGAGAAGACTGGTCAGGAGCAGGTCTGCAGGCGTGGGTTGTTGGAAAGAGTGTGTTTGGGTGGTGTGGGCTGAAGGAAAAGTTTTAGTTTTAAAAAATTATGTAACAGGTGAACGTTGGGAGTGTAACAGCTTGGTTTTGGTGTTGATTTTTGGCTTTGGGTTGTGTGGTTTGTTTTCGTGGGGATTTATGTTTTTTATTTTCTGTTAAGTCTTTCTTAACTTTTTTATTTTTATTTCTTTAAAAAAAATTCGTGAGGCCAAGGGGTTGGTTGTATGGATGCGAGTAGCAGTAGTAGGAGTATTTGTACTTTCTGAATCTCTCTCGATGCATGTCATCTTCTTGTACCTTTAATTTCATGCTGTTAATGAAATTTTTCTTTGCTGATCAAAAAAATAAAATAAAATTTATTGGATGATCTCATATGCACCTCGGTTATCTTAATCGCAAAGTGCAAACGAGCTTACTACATAAAGATATTATTCTCCTAAAAATTCAATAAGTGTATCATGTTTTGTATAAATCACTAACAGAATCCTTACAGAAACAATTAACTGTAATAAGATAATACTTTAGCTTTTTAACTCTCTGCCTATTTGGGCGAAAAATATTTTTTAGAAAATATGTTTTATATTTTTTGGTGTTTGGTACAATGCAAAATAAAAATTAACGGAAAATATTTTTCATGTTCAATAGAAAAGAAGCTTATATGAGTATAAAATATTTTTCGAATTAAAATCTTACCAATATTATACACTACTACTGCTACTCTCACCTCTATTACTATACCACCATCACAAGAACCACTATTACCATCACCGTTACTATTACCGCCGCGGCCACCATGCCATCACCTTCACCTCCATTTTCATTTCATTACCAAATATAGAAAAATATTTTCTTTAAAAAATATTTTTCAAAAAAATTCATAAAATTATTTTTATTTAAAAATATTTTCCATCAAAATAAACGGGCGTTAATATTGAATTTTGAAATTTTGGGAGTAAAGTGCGAATCAAACATAATAGTTTAAGATGATTTATTTTAATTTATCTTTAAAATAAATAATAGTTTAAGATTATCCTTAAAATAAATAAATCAAATACAACGACAACGTTACTACTTTATCGTCAATACTTCGAACTCCTGCAGCGTGTGATCTCGGGTCATGCCATCAATGTCGGCTCCGGAGGTACGTGTCTCTCTCTCTCTTCTCTCTCTCTTTCTCTCTTAGCATTTTGCTGTTTCTGTGATTCAATTTAGAAGGTTTTTAGAGTCTGTGATTCCTTTGTTTTGAGCTTTCTTTTGTGTGCGTGTGTGTGTTTTGAACTGTATGTTTATATCCATGTTCATTGCTGAATCAAATGCTTTAGTTCGTGGATCTCTTCAAAATACAACTTTGTACTAGTAGAAATACAATGTAGAAAAGAAAGAAAAGGATCATTGATCGAACAATTTGACAGGGTATGATGGTTTTGTTTCGCTCTTTTTTTAATGGGTTTCATGTTCTTTGTGTATCCATGAACTAATTTAGGTTTCAATTGGATTGTTGGATAAGGGGTAGGGATAGATGTTGTAAGAAGACATGCCCTCCTTTGTCTCCTCTTTCAGTGACATACTTTTACTCATCAAACACAGGGGTTTGAGTTTTATTTAGGTTGGGTTTGGTTGGAGGATTTGATTTGGGAAATTGAAATGGAAATGGAAAGGGAAATAGAAAGAAAAGAAGAAAGAATTGATAGGATTCAAATTCCAAGCTATGTTTGGTTAAGTTGAGAAATGGAGAAAGAAAAGAGCCTAAAGTGAACTGATATGTCTCTGCCTCGCAGCCTTAGCATGAGAATAGGAGCTGCTGCCTCAAGAATAGGAGTTAGTTTAGGCTGTTTTCAGTAGTGGGTGTATTGGTTGCTTCCACAATTCCACAATTAGTGCCACATCTTTTTTGCATTATTATTTTCCGTTGTTATTTTCGGCAGTTGGTATTTTCTCATTCCTGTAGTTGATATGTTCTCATTTGGTTTATAAATAGCCAGGGAACTCTTGGAATAAATATATGGAATCACAGTCCCAATCTCTCTCTCTTCCCTTTCTAAGCCTCTGTTCCTCTCTTTCTTGGCTATTCACTTGCTTTTCTTATACAAATTACATATTATTTGGTATCAGAGCCAGGTTAACATGGAAACTCGGGGCAAAAGTAACGTAGAATTTCGTAATGAAGTCAGCGAAATCCTAGCCCGCCATGAGTCTAGTTTTGACCAAATTCATGATACCCTCCAAACCGTTTTGACGGAACTCCAATCTATGCGGGTCTCATCTCACAGTGTCCCTATCGACAATCCCTTTGCTGAAGCCGAAACCTCTCACAATCAGTCCCTACCTGCCAGAAACACCCATATACTAGCCCATGGTACCAACCACAACCCCGACCGCAGTCACACCCATTTAAAACTCTCCTTTTCGAAATTTAGTGGGGACGATCCAACAGGTTGGATTTACAAGGCTGAACAGTACTTTGACTTCAAGGGTGTGGTCTCTGATCAACAGGTGCAACTTGCATCCTTCCACCTAGAAGGCATAGCTCTACTGTGGCTTCGATGGTTGACCAAGTTCAGAGATTCCTTAAACTGGGACGAATTAACCAAAGCCATGTTGCTCCTCTTCGGACCAACCGACTACGAGGATCCGTCGGAAGCTTTGACCCGCCTCAAACAAACTTCGACAGTCGCAATCTACCAAGAAGCCTTCGAAATGCTCTCACATCGGGTTGACGGGTTACCCGTAAACTACTTAATTGGGTGTTTCATAACCGGTCTCCGTGATGACATACGCTTGGATGTTAAACTCAAATAGCCACGAACATTGGCGGACACCATTGGGGCAGCACGGTTAATCGAAGAGCGCAACAACTTACAAAAAAAAGGGAGCAGTACCTATTGTCCCCAAGTGGCTACCGTAACTCCAAGGTTTGCTCCGAATAGCACAGCGGGAGTCTTAGGACCTCCACCCGCGCAGAAGATGGGTCAGTCCTCGACCACAGCTCCAATTCCATGTCGGCGAATTACAAGTCAAGAGGCACGAGAACGCCGTGAAAAGGGTCTATGCTACTATTGTGACGAGAAGTTCACTTTGGGCCACCAATGCCAAAGACCCCAGCTGTTTATGATTGAGGAATCACCAACACTCGAACCTACCGAGGCCACGAACTCTAACGATGAATCTGATATGACTGAGCCACTGCCAAAAATCTCATTCCATGCGATAGCAGGAACGGAGCATCCTCAGACATTTCGAGTAGTGGGTAAATTGAAAAACAAATCTGTGACGATTCTCATTGATGGGGGGGAGCACCCACAACTTCATCGACCAAGCCGTAGTCACCAAATTCGGGCTTCCCGTTACACGCAATTAGAAGTTGCAGGTCATGGTTGCTAATCGGGAAAACATCAATTGCAAAGGACGATGCCTTGGGCTCACCCTCTTCATCCAAAACTTTTCGGTTCAAGCTGATTTTTATGTTTTACCCGCAGCAGAGTGTCAGACAGTGTTGGGGGTCCAGTGGTTGGCCACCCTTGGGCCGATTGAAACCGACTATAGCAAGCTCACCATGTCTTTCCAGCAGGGAGGTAAATCTTGTATTTTGCAGGGACTTAAACAACCAGCCCTCACTGCCTTGAACGACAAGGAACTTCTCCATCTCAATGGCACAGCCGTGCTCTTTCAAATCATGCCATGCGATGCACCGACTCCAGTCACCGATCACCCTGCTGACCTCGGCCAGATCCTCACAGAATTTCAGCATGTCTTCGTCGTCCCCGACACCTTGCCACCAATACGAGCCCATGATCATCGGATTCCATTGAAGCCCAACCAAGAGTCCGTGTGTGTCCGACCTTATCGATACCCCCATTACCAAAAAACATAAATTGAAAAGATGGTGAAGGAATTTCTGGATGCAGGTCTGATCCGTCCAAGTACGAGTCCATTTTCTTCACCGGTGTTACTTGTCAAGAAAGCGGATGGTGGTTGGCGGTTCTGTGTTGATTACTGAGCTCTCAACAATATTACAATCAAAGATAAGTACCCGATCCCTATCATAGATGAACTCCTCGACGAATTACATGGATCCAGGTATTTTTCTAAACTTGACCTCCGCGCCGGATACCATCAAATAAGGGTTCATGGGGCTGATATACACAAAACTGGTTTCCGCACACATGACGGACATTACGAATTTGTTGTTATGCCCTTCGGCCTTACAAACGCCCCCTCCACCTTCCAGAGTTTGATGAACGACTTGCTACGACCTTACTTGAGGAAATTCGTTCTGGTTTTTTTTTATGACATGTTGGTGTACAGCAAAAATTGGGTTGACCATCTGGGCCACCTCCGTACGGTCCTTGTTTTATCCAACAATCAGTTGTTTGCCAAACAATCTAAATGTTGTTTTGGCATGTTACAGGTGGCATACTTGGGACACCTAATTTCAGTGGCAGGGGTGGTCGTCGATCCCGGAAAGATTAGTTTAGTCCTCGAGTGGCCAACTCCCATATCCGCTCGAGGTGTTCGCGGCTTCCTTGGCTTAGCCGGATACTACCGAAAATTTATCAGAGGCTTTGGCGGGATTGCTGCGCCTCTCACTCGCTTATTATCCAAAGATGGGTTCCAATGGACTTCTGAGGCCGCCACTGCGTTCTCCCAACTCAAACAGGCCCTCACATCTCCTCCAGTCCTACGCTTACCAGATTTTTCACAATCTTTTGTTATCGAATGCGATGCTTGTGGGGTAGGCATCGGAGCTATTTTGTCACAACAAGACCAACCAATAGCCTACTTCAGTGAAGCTCTCAAACCATCGGCCTTAGCTTTATCGACCTACGAGAAGGAGATGCTAGCAATAGTTAAGGCCATCCGCAAGTGGAGACCATATTTACTCGGCAAACCATTCATTGTCCGAACCGATCAGAGAAGTTTAAAATACTTGCTAGAGCAACGGATCACAACGCCAGCACAAACACGATGGTTACCGAAAATTCTCGGCTATGATTATACCATTCAGTACAAGAAGGGAAATGAGAATGGTGGTGCTGATGCTCTCTCACGGGTTGGCGAACTAGAATTCCTCGCTGTGTTGTTACCCGTTGCGAATTGGTGGGCCATGCTCCAACAAGAGGTTGCCACCGATCCATTCTACAGTCAACTATTGGGATCCATACCATCACACCTCCAGCCACAATACTCTTTACGTGATGGGGTTCTTTTCAAAGGGGAGAGCATCTATTTGAGTCCTTCTTCGCCATTACTTCCGGCTATTTTATCAACACATCACTCATTACCGGTTGGCGGACACTTTGGCTATCATAAAACATTGAGCCGCATTAACTCCAGTTTTACTTGGCCTTCCATGCGGACTGCGATCAAGGACTTCATAAAAAATTGTGATGTTTGTCAACGATGCAAATCTGATTGTTTGCGCCCTGCCGGCCTCTTACAACCGTTGCCAATACCAACTAAAGTGTGGACTGACATTTCTATGGATTTCGTCGAAGGGTTGCCACCGTCCCACGGTCAAATGGTCATCATGGTGGTCGTCGATCGCTTGACTAAATATGCCCATTTCATTCTGCTCAAGCACCCCTATACTGCCATAATCGTGGCCAAAGTCTTTATCGCACAAATTGTCCGTCTTCATGGCATGCCAGCATCCATTGTAAGTGACCGTGACAAAATTTTTATGAGTTCATTTTGGAAAACTTTATTTCACATCCAGGGTACAGCTCTTTGCATGAGTTCTAGCTATCACCCACAGACCGATGGTCAAACGGAAGTAATTAATCGCACGCTCGAGCAGTATCTTCGGTGTTTCACACATGGGCAGCCAAGGAAATGGATGGACTGGGTTGCATGGGCTGAATATAGCTACAATACTTCCACTCACTTTTCCACCAAAATTTCCCCTTTCAAAGCCGTGTATGGTCTACCTCCACCCACTTTACTTTCCTACATTCCAGGAACAACAAAAGTGCAGGCTGTTGACGACCTTTTGCGCAGCCGTGATGACATTCTCACTGCATTGTGTCGTAATTTGACTGTTGCTCGTGACCGAATGAAATCCCAGGCTGACCAACATCGACGGGAGCTTGTTTTTGAGGTCGGCGATTTTGTGTACCTCAAACTCCAACCGTACCGACAGAAATCAGTGGCTTCTCGCAGCTCTGTGAAACTCTCACCTCGGTTCTTTGGCCCTTATAAGGTTCTTGCTTGAATTGGTCTAGTAGCGTACAAGCTCGAGCTACCAGTGAATTCCCAAATCCACGATGTCTTTCATGTTAGTCTCCTCAAAAAACACGTCGGTCCCATCACCACTGTCTCCCACCAACTTCCGCCAGTTTCGGACACACACGAGGTCCTTCCTCAACCCTAGGCCGTGCTGGACACCCGTATTGTTCAAAAGGGTCTTTATCGCCCAAGTCCGAGATTTTGGTTAAATGGGTTGGGGCGCCAATTGAAGATGCAACCTGGGAGAATCGTTGGCGTTTTTCGAAGTCTTACCCTGACTTTATCCTTGAGGACAAGGATAATTCAAGGGGGGAGGAATGATATGTCTTTGCCTCGCAGCCTTAGCATGAGAATAGGAGCTACTGCCTCAAGAATAGGAGTTAGTGTTGGCTGTTTTCAGTAGTGGGTGTATTGGTTGCTTCCACAATTCCACAATTAGTGCCACATCCTTCTTGCATTATTATTTTCTGTTGTTATTTTCGGCCGTTGGTATTTTCTCATTCTTGTAGTTGATATGTTCTCATTTGGTTTATAAATAGCCAGGGAACTCTTGGAATAAATGTATGGAATCACAGTCCCAATCTCTCTCTCTTCCCTTTCTAAGCCTCTGTTCCTCTCTTTTTTGGCTATTCACTTGCTTTTCTTATACAAATTACATATTATGAACCTAAAAGACAAAAAGTGGGATTGTATTTCTCTCTCACTTTCTTTTCCCTTACGTTTTCCATTATAATCAAATAAAAAGTGGGATTGCATTTCCTTTTCCCTTTCATTTTCTCTCATCAAATCCTCCAATCAAACGCAGCCTTAGGCTACATTTGAATCATGGATTTGAGTATGAATTTCAAAAGGGAAAGGGAAAGGGAAAGGGAAAAAGAAGGGTAGGTGAAATGCGAATAACCCACTTTTTTCCTTTTTCTTTCCAAATCACTACTTAAGTTAAATCTATAATCCAAACACAACCTTGGTGTTCATGATGTTATGGTGGTAATAATAGATTATTATTATTATTAGTAGTAGTGTGTGTGTGTGTGTGTGTGTGTGTGTGAATGTGAAGGAGAGTCCAAATATCTTGACCAATTTTAATGCTCTTAACAATGTTCATGTGCTTTAGGACATCCTCTTAAGGATGGTTTCACGATTTGTAGTGGAATATTTTAGGGCAAATTACCAACACTCCCCTCGAGATTTGACTAAAATACGGATTTCCCCTTGAGGTTTGGGAAATTACAAATTGCCCCTTGAAGTTTATATTTGCATAACAAATGAGGGACAATTTGTTATGCAAATATAAACCTCAAGGGGCGGGATGTAATTTCTCAAGTCTCAGGAGGGAATCTGTATTCTAGTCAAATCTTGAGGGGGGTGTTGGTAATTTGCACAATATTTTAGCATTTAGAGGAATGGTTATGATTATGAATAACTAAGACTAGTTTGATCCCCAAAAAAACCGAAGCCTTATACTACCTTACAACCTATTCTAATGGAGAGGATGGGAATATTTAGAATATACACTTTGAGGCCTTCCCCATTAAAATTTAAGGAGGCTATATTGAAATCAATTATTTTATGTGTCCCTAATTTGTCGTGACCTGGTGTGGGTATGTGCCATCTACCTTAGCCTTGTGGTGTGGGTTCAAGTCACAAGAATCATCCGTTTTGCCACGCACAAAAAATAAAATAAAAGTAAAAGTAAAGACAGCTACCTCTTACCTCTCTTGGACCATATGCTTTAAAACAACAACCTTTGCACTTGGTATGACCTTTTCTAGGAGTCTCCTCTTTAAATTTTCTACAAGCCATTTATTTTATAGTTTTGATATTTATTGGTCAATACAAAATGACCCACAGGACATTGGCATAAATAAGCGGGGTCACTCAATTGAACCAAGATGATATTGTGATCATATTTGGAAATGCTTAGTGGAAAATACACTATGCCTCATGATTCAAACCTAGGGTTTTAAATTTCGATTGTTATGTATTGGAATTTTGGACCTTCAACACTGGTATTCTTTGATATATTAGCCAATACTGTTTGATATTGACCAATATGTGACCGTATCGCTGATAACAATATAGATACATATCCTGATACGGTTATTTAAAATAATGCCCAACCCTAGTGGAGAGCATATGAAGATGTGATTGGTCTATGTCTCACCTTAGGAGGCTTAACATGTGTAGTAGCCTCATTTTGTGGAGATAGCAACATAACAACGACATGGTTTGCCACGTAAGGGATCTAAATACATGTACCTACAACCTACAGTACCTATATTGGCCCATTTGATCCAGATATGTTTCCAAGGAATTGTGTGACCACTGTAGATTTTGTCGAACCAGTGGCTTTCTATTTTGTATTCCATCACTCAAAAATATAGGGCAAATTACACTATTAGTCTTTGTACTTTAGCCATTGTGTCATTTTGGTCCCTATAATTTAAATTGGATCAATTTTGACCTTGAACTTCTGATTTTATCTCAAATTGGTCCAATTACTTCCAATTGTTAGCATTTTTTATGACAAATGTGCACATGAGCGGCATGTGTCATATTTTTAGGAGGAAAGTTGTAAACTTGATCAATTTAGTGACTTAATCTTAACTAATTCAATGAAAATTTTCTGTCAAAAATTCTAATAACAATATCAATTGGACCAAATTGAAACAAAATTTAAAATGAAGGGTAAAAAATGAGCCAATTGAAACTGTAGGGACGAAACTGACACAACCAGCAAAATGTTGGGACTACCAGTGTAAAAATTTCAGGCATAGCATAAATATTATATTAGGAAAACATTAACCAACTAAGCTACCTAGTGCTATGAAATGCATTGAGTCCCATATATACACATGGACTCGAGTGCAAGTGTCAGGTGTGGGTATGATTCATCTAATTCTCATGCCCAAGGCTACCAAGATAAGGCTAGATTTCATTTTTTATTTGATGTTTACAAAAATAAAATAGAGCATTTTATGTAAAACTCAATTCTCATGATCAGTTACATACATGTCCAACTAGTCATATCAGATATATCACGTACAACAAGTTGAATGTTCGACACATGCACTTCACAAATTTGGAAAAGTCCATGTAACATAGATGAAAAGTAAAGACGTGTGGCTCTTACAACATGCCGGTACTATGCAATGAGATTAGGGTTCCAAAACCTTCATCCTATCTGTAATAGGTATATGCTATGTAATATTTTGCTTTTCAATTTCCAATTGGTGCCATTATACTTTTGTTACAATGTAGTGAATTTGTGATAGAATAAAGCGTCCAATTAATGCAGTGATTTTCTTTATTCACGATAAACCCAAGATTATCTCCATACAATCTCATTATAACCTGCTACTTCGGAATTTTCAATGATAATGGTCCGGTTGTTTTTATCCCTGCCTCAACAATTATTGGTAAAGGCTTCCTGATTTTGTTACCCTCTCTAACTTTGTCACTATTATTTTGAAATTCTGTGTAGCATTGCAGTGAAGTATGGAAACTAATAGGCGTTAAGGTGACATGCAAATACTTTTAACTGTTGAACAAGAAGCTCAGCAGATTGTCAATGCTACCAATAGTGGTAAATGTGCTATTATCCTTACTTGTTTCCTGATTGATCTTTATCTGAGTTTAGATAAGCATATGCATCTGAAGAAAGAATTCCAATGTAGAATTTATAGAACTCTTTAATATAGAGATTACTGAACTCTTTTTATTTATTTATTTGTTTTTTAATTATTTTCTCCATATGGAAGTATTATATGTATGATAGTTTTCGAAGGCATCTTCGAAAAAATTACAAGCTGCCAATAGGTTTTGCACTTTTATGGTTTTCATGCTTTGAGATCCAACCATAGAAGTTGTCGAGTTCTTACATTTTCAGATCAAGAGTTAGAGAAGTAGCAAACTGGACTGGGCAGAACCTTTTTTCGATAGCTAGAAGATGATTCTCCTTCGTAGTAGTGTTTTATCTTCAATGTATTTCATGCTTAAGAAATCAGTGTTCTCATGCATAAAGGGTAAATGCATAATTTTAAGTATCGGCCATTATGTATCACATCAGCCATTACATAATGGTATTTTGGCCTTCCGAAACTGTTATTCATTGACATATTGGCCGATATTGTTCGATATTGTCCAATATATGATTGTATCACTGATATCAATACATATCCTCATTCTGTTATTTAAAACCATGGGTAAATGTCTATTATTTCCAGTTTTAGATACTAGTGACAATACATACGTAGGCATATTCTTGGATGTGCTGGGGTGCTATCAACATATTGAATAAAATGGCAAATATATACATAAAGGGCATCTTAGTCCTCTGTTCAAGCTAGGAAGCCTCCGTCTGTAGGCTTTCTACAAGGAAATTTTAGTGTTTTAGTATTTCAAAATGTGGAAATACAAAATTTTCTCATTAGTTATTATGCCTTTGGTCTGCTTCATGAGTGGAAAAATGATTCCTGAAACTTGTATGCCAATGGCTTTTGTGTTCTGCCTCAAGCAAAAATGGCTAGATTAAAACAAGCCAAAGAAGAGGCTGAAAAGGAGGTGGCTGAATATCTAGCCCAAATGGAACTAGAGTTTCAACGGAAAGTCACAGAGGTAAACATACATTGGCTTCTTAGTTGTTTAACAAAATTCTCATACATCAAACAATGAATCTGTGGATTCCAACTTGTGTTTTTTGATTGCCTCAATCTATTCCTCCATTTTCTTTCACTAATCTATCTATGGTTCTTTATTATCGCTGTGCTAATGCAGCTTCCTTCTTTTTTTCTTTTTTTTTTCAAATGGTAAAAAAAACAGAGCAATGGAGATTCAGGTGCCGATGTGAACCGTCTTGAACAAGACACGGGTGTAAAGATTCAACACTTGGAAAAAATATCCCATGATGTCAACCTAATGCTTTTGAAGCATGTTTGTTACTACTGTGAAAGTCTGGGCTTCTTGAATCTTGATGGTTAGATTAGTGCCATACTCGCCCTCGGATATGATTATTTTGTCATGAATGTTTTTGGTAAATTATTTTCCCTGGACCCTAGACTTGCTGTTGGCTGTAGATAGGACTCTTGAAACATTTATTTTGAACATTTTGTTTTTTGTTGCAGTGGCCTTTCAAAGGGAAGAACTTACCATTTCTTTTTATCAGTAAATAAATAAATGTTGCAGATATGCAACAATCTCTTGTTTTAATTACTTTGCTTGATGTAAACGAAATTATTTGAGTTATTTACCAAACCCAAGCTGTTTCAAAACTTATTTCCCTAATGCATGTTGGATTCGGCGAAAAACTCTAAATTTGTTAGCTTGATTTGATGGTGGCCTTGCCATGTGAGGGCATTATGGTGCTTACACTGAAAATCTGTTTGATGTTTCTTTGTTCATAAATATGCGGTACTAGGTAGTTGTTACTTTATATGCATGTCTTTTGCACACAATGTTTGGATTTAGTTAAATATATATCCAATAAAAACCCTATTGTGAACCTTCAAATTTTTATACCAAATAATTTAGCCTTTGGAGTTTATAGATGTTCTTTTGATGGAATTTATTCACCACTGGATCTTTTTAATGAACATATAGAATTTTAAGAAATGGGATTTCACAATTAAAAAGAGGAGAGAAGACATCAGTTAGTTCCTTTAAAATTGAATGTCGTCAAGGGTGATATTTAAAACTCATTGGGGGTGTTTATTTTGGTTTTTTTGAGTTAATTTATATCTTCTAACTTTCGGAAAGTTATTTTGGATTGTTTTATTAAATTTATTTAAATCAGTTTCTGATTCTAATAATTTATTTTAATTCAAAAAAATTGATTTTGAGAAACTGTTCACCTTTTGCTTCTGATTATCAACTTCTGCTGTAGACATGTTAATTTACGGTTATACTCTTAAATTTTTTTATTTTTTATTTTTTTAAAAATAGAAAAAGACTCAAATGAACTATAAATTATTATTATTATTTTTTATGAGAAATCTCTTAGATTTTTTTTATTTTTTATTTTTTTAAAAATAGAAAAAGACCCAAATGAACTATAGAATATTATTATTATTTTTTATGAGAAATATAGACAAATAGTGAATAACAAAAAATAAAAGTTAATTGAAAAAGTTACTTCATATCTTATTTAACAAATACTATTTAGTAATTTAAATTTATAATTTAACAATTACACCAAATAAATTATTAACTTTTAATTAAAATTATAATTTATAAACCGTTAAATTATAATTTATAATATGTTTTAACGATTATAGCAAGCGGCGACAGTATGAAGAAAAAGACTTTTGGCAAAATGAAGGGACAAACTTGAGATGTGGACATTATTCTTTAATATTTCATGTCTTCAGATTGTCTCATTTCACATGTCTTTGACACTCTCTGAAGCAAGGTTTGCCTATGTGAAAGGTCAGTCTTATCCTTAATTCTCTTGTCATTTCCTTTTCTTTGGTAAATGCCGTGTCAGACCGTTCTCTTTCTCTTGCTCCTTATAATGATTGATGATTATATTTTCCATAGTTTTTATTAGGGTATGGTTTCTGCTCAGTTCGGGATCGGACTGGACGGTGTTATTGGGCTTGTGAGGACCCATCACGGGTTCCGTTTTGATAATCTGAATCGTTCAATGTGTAGAACTCGTTGAGTACTATATGTCTGTAAAAAATCACGTTGATCGGATATCGATAGCTATATTAACAAATCAGTTTCGTATTAAAAAAATTGGACAGTAAATAAATTAACGGTTGACAAAAAAACTATTTTGATCACATAACTATCGATATCCGATCAATATGATTTTTTATAAACATATAGTACTCGACGAGTTCTATACATTGAACGATTCAGATTATCAAAAACGGGACCCGTGGTGGGCCCCCATGAGCTCAACAGCACGGTCCAGTCCGATACCCTTTTTATTATTGTATATCATTCTTGCCCATAAAATTATGATTTCTTGAAATAATTATAAAATTTCATTTTGATGGAATGTCCAGGATTGTTTGGTATTGTTTCAATTTTTTATGTTTTAAAAAGTTAAGTTATACTATTAGCTCTTGTAAGTTGAGTGAAATGTCGTTTTAGTTCTCGTATTTTTAATTTGAATAATTTAAAAATTTTATATTTTTAATTTTGTTATAATATGATTTCTTCGTCATGTATCTTTAATATTTTGAATATAAAAAAACCACATTCAAAATAAGAGGAATCAAAATCAAAAAAACTATAAAGACCATTAATATAATTCATTTATTACATTGATGGCCTCCACAGTTCATTTTGAATTTCATTTTGGTCCCTTTATTTTTGCACATGATTTTTTTGCATTCAAAATTCTAACGGTAAATGACAAAAGAACCACATTGCAACAAAATTAAAAATATAATGTTCACATTAAAACTATGAGAATTAAAGTAACAAGTCGTTTAAACTATATGAACTAATGGTGTAATTTTTCTTTTTAAAAATAAAACTAATGAAAGGTAAGTAACAATCTTAATTTTTAGTTTTGCTTGAATAATTTTTTGATATTTTCTAAAATAGTGAATTGTTTTTTAAAAGTAAATTCTTAAACAGTTTATCAACAAATATATATATATTCTTTGTTTGATTTGGAATTTTTTTTTTTTTTTTTGTTATCAGTGAACTTTTTTTAATATTTTAATTTTTTTGGTTTCGTTCCACACAAGTTAATCACACTTAAAAATAAAATATTTATGAATAAATCTAAAAAAAATACAAAGATGTATTGAATTTTTATTTTTTGTATTTAATGAAATTTTTTTTTAAATACTAAGTGTATCTAAATTACGTGAATTTAAAAAATAAAAAAGATTAAAAAAATTATTTTAAAAGATTGTAAACGAAATATATTATGAATTATTTACATGGAGACCCCTTAAACTATTGAGATGTTTAACTTTGACCCTTTCTGTTACTGCACTATGAGTTAAATCAAACTTTTAAATATTTTTTAGACATAATTACCCTTCAACACTGTATATAACACACCCAGCAACACTCCTCTCAATTTTTCTCTTTTTCTATTTTATTATTAGCTTTTTAAAATATTCTTTCTACAAAAATATATTTACAAAGAATATTTTTTTAAAAAATTAAAAACAATAATAATGAAATTGTAAATATACGGAGGGTTGAAGCTATTTTCATCTAAGAAATATTTAAAAATTTAATTTAACTCACAGTGCAGTAATAGAAGGGGTCAAAGTGAAATACGCCAATAATTTAAGAAATTTATTTGCATATTTTTATAATTTAGAGAATTAAAATAATATTTCTCACTAATTTTTATTAAGTCTATTGATATGTTTTTATAATTTGAAAAGTAAAATTAATATTTTTTAATAATTTAGAGATGTGCGTGTAAATAACTCTTATATTTGTGATCTAACAAACCTTGAAGTAGACAAAATCTAAGGTAAATTTACATGATCATTTCTGCAAATAAAACAGACCACATGAAAGATGACTCAGCCAGAGCAAGTTGGCTCCACCTATTGATCTCAAATCTTCTTCGTATGTATCTATGCCCCAATCCACTTGAATTGTTATTTTTCTTGACTCTGATTGGCTCTGCCTAGAGATTGAGACAAAAAGTGTGGTTTTTCAAAATCAACAGATTAATGTCATCATCCATTTATTGCATGCATCACTGACCAATCTTTGTGGGGTTAACCCCCACCAATATTGCACATACATTGAACTTTCACATCAAAGTGCTCATTTTAATTTGGGAAATTTTATAATATACTCTTTATTTTGGAGGGGTATTATATGTATCAATTATGATATTTATATTTTTTAATTATAATTTATTGTGATATTAATTATGAATTAATTATAATAAAAAAAATTAATTATACCTTGTGTGATATGGTGTTTGATTATAACTTATGATAGATTTTTTTTTAAAATTTTTAATTTGGGAAATTTTATAATATACTCTTTATTTTGGAGGGGTATTATATGTATCAATTATGATATTTATATTTTTTAATTATAATTTATTGTGATATTAATTATGAATTAATTATAATTAAAAAAATTAATTATACCTTGTGTGATATGGTGTTTGATTATAACTTATGATATATTTTTTTTAACATGTATATTATAGAATGACCATTTTTAATTATCTAATTTCATTTATTTATTTTAAAATTTTATATTATACCACATGGTTATATTATAAATGAATTATGAAATATCATAATTTCATTTTGTCAATCAAACTTTTGACATAAAGTGATAAATTTTATCCATTTCATTATTACAATATATTTCAAGCATCATTTAACCATAACTCATGGCATGAAATAACTCGTTGTTTATTATGTCTTTTGTTGAATGAAATAGTTAAAAAAAGTTTTTTAAGGAAAATGTTTATCTTTAAAAGATTTAGGATGTGTTTGATTTGTGTTTTGAGATAAATTTTTTGAAAATTTTTTGAGAAGAGAGTTTAGAAATTTTTTTGGTTTGTTTGGTTATATATTTTGAAAATAATTTTGAAATTTGAGAGTTTGGAATTATTTGATATTTTATTGTAGTTGAATAGATGCGTGTAAGAAAGAAAAAGTGATTGAGAAGAAGAGAGGAGAGAGGAGAGAGGAGAGGAAAAAAGTGATTGATTGATGTATAGGAGAGAAAAAAGTGATTTTGAAAAAAAAAATTCAAGAAATTTAAACTAAACAAAATTTTAAATTTTTTTCTCAAAAATTATATCTTGAGATATAAACCAAACAAGTCCTTAACTTCTTTTAAATTGATCATCTATAACACATTGGCACTCTCTTTGTATTCCCCCACTCATTCTCCTATCATACTTTATATTCTTTTCAATTTTCTTCTCTTTATTTATTTTTTTTGATGATTGAAATTTATAATTTTTTTTATATGTTTCCTTTAAGAGAGATTTATTTATAAATCTAACTTATAACCCAATAAATTCATAATTTTTTTTTAGCATTCTACCTAATTTCATATATTTAGACTTGTATCCCATGAAATCCTTTTTTTCCTTATTTATAAAATTTTTTGGACTAATATACCCTTTGTAAACACCTCCATTTTGACGAACGCTAAGATTTCGAGTGTTTGTAAGCTTTCTGATGATGAAATGGTAATTTCTTATTCCTTAGAGATGCTTAAGGTTGGCAAGAGCTGTTGTGTAACCTCGTTTTGGCCAGAATTCAATTTTTTGCAAAAATGACCATTTGCCC